TCCTTCACTTATGAAACTTAGTTTGGCTGGATATAAAATTCTGGGTTTAAAATTCTTTTCTTTAAGAATGTTGAATATTGGCCCCCACTCTCTTCTGGCTTGAAGAGTTTCTGCCAAGAGATCTGCTGTTAGTCTGATGGGCTTCCCTTTGTGGGTAACCCGACCTTTCTCTCTGGCTGCCCTTAAGATTTTTTCCTTCATTTCAACTTTGGTGAATCTGGCAATTATGTGTCTTGGAGTTGCTCTTCTCGAGGAGTATCTTTGTGGCGTTCTCTGTATTTCCTGGATTTGAATGTTGGCCTGCCCTACTAGGTTGGGGAAGTTCTCCTGGATGATATCCTGAAGAGTGTTTTCCAACTTGGTTCCATTTTCCCCCTCACTTTCAGGCACCCCAATCAGACGTAGATTTGGTCTTTTTACATAATCCCATACTTCTTGCAGGCTTTGTTCATTTCTTTTTCTTCTTTTTTCTTTTGGTTTCTCTTCTCACTTCATTTCATTCATTTGATCCTCAATCGCTGACATTCTTTCTTCCAGTTGATCGAGTCGGTTACTGAAGCTTGTGCATTTGTCACGTATTTCTCGTGTCATGGTTTTCGTCTCTTTCAGTTCGTTTATGAGCTTCTCTGCATTAATTACTCTAGCCATCAATTCTTCCACTTTTTTTTCAAGATTTTTAGTTTCTTTGCGCTGGGTACGTAATTCCTCCTTTAGCTCTGAGAAATTTGATGGACTGAAGCCTTCTTCTCTCATCTCGTCGAAGTCATTCTCCGTCCAGCTTTGTTCCGTTGCTGGCGATGAGCTGCGCTCCTTTGCCGGGGGAGATGCGCTCTTATTTTTTGAATTTCCAGCTTTTCTGCCCTGCTTTTTCCCCATCTTTGTGGTTTTATCTGCCTCTGGTCTTTGATGATGGTGATGTACTGATGGGGTTTTGGTGTAGGTGTCCTTCCTGTTTGATAGTTTTCCTTCTAACCGTCAGGACCCTCAGCTGTAGGTCTGTTGGAGATTGCTTGAGGTCCACTCCAGACCCTGTTTGCCTGGGTATCAGCAGCAGAGGCTGCAGAAGATAGAATATTTCTGAACAGCGAGTGTACCTGTCTGATTCTTGCTTTGGAAGCTTCCTCTCAGGGGTGTACTCCACCCTGTGAGGTGTGGGGTGTCAGACTGCCCCTAGTGGGGGATGTCTCCCAGTTAGGCTACTCAGGGGTCAGGGACCCACTTGAGCAGGGAGTCTGTCCCTTCTCAGATCTCAACCTCCGTGTTGGGAGATCCACTGCTCTCTTCAAAGCTGTCAGACAGAGTCGTTTGCGTCTGCAGAGCCTTCTGCTGCGTTTGTTATTGTTTACTGTGCCCTGTCCCCAGAGGTGGAGTCTACAGAGACAGGCAGGTTTCCTTGAGCTGCTGTGAGCTCCACCCAGTTCGAGCTTCCCAGCAGCTTTGTTTACCTACTTAAGCCTCAGCAATGGCGGGCGCCCCTCCCCCAGCCTCGCTGCTGCCTTGCCAGTAGATCACAGACTGCTGTGCTAGCAATGAGGGAGGCTCCGTGGGTGTGGGACCCTCCCGGCCAGGTGTGGGATATGATCTTCTGGTGTGCCTGTTTGCTTAAAGCGCAGTATTGGGGTGGGAGTTACCCGATTTTCCAGGTGTTGTGTGTCTCAGTTCCCCTGGCTAGGAAAAGGGATTCCCTTCCCCCTTGCGCTTTCCAGGTGAGGCAATGCCTCGCCCTGCTTCAGCTCTCGCTGGTCGGGCTGCAGCAGCTGACCAGCACCGATCGTCTGGCACTCCCCAGTGACATGAACCCAGTACCTCAGTTGAAAATGCAGAAATCACCGGTCTTCTGTGTCGCTCGCGCTGGGAGTTGGAGACTGGAGCTGTTCCTATTCGGCCATCTTGCTCTGCCCTCTCAGTGGCATTCTTATCCTGCTTGGGGACAGAGACAGTGATTGCCCTAAGGTACAGAGAGGGAAATGAGCACTGGTGGCCGAATGTGTGTTAACTGTATGCATAGTCAGGAGACATAAGAAAGAAATATCCAGAAGAATAGAGGATATAGGCGAATGGACACTTGAGTAAGTATAATGAAGAAATAAAGGATAAGAAGAGATGGTTGAGGGAGACCAAAGAGAGACAGGAGAGAAAGGCTATTGTTGTAAAAGTAGGTTCATTAGAGAATTAGCTGAAGTGCATGGGGAAAAATACATTGTCTTCTGAGTTAGGTGGATAATGCCTTATGAAGTTGTGTGCAGCTTGTTCCTGTTGTTGGGTCAAAGCCAGTGTTTCCAGATGGCCACAATAACCAGGAGGTCCCTTGACAACTCACTCCAGAGCCTAAAACAAATCGAAAATGAAAGGTATGGCTCCTTATTAAGATTGTCTGTGTATTCAAACAGTGGCATTCTTTATCAGGCATCCTGCTGACGCTGTGGCTCCTGTTTCCATCACAGAAGCTATTTCACTTAAGATGAGAAGAGGTCTCATTAATAAATCATATTGCATGATATTCCTATAGTACCTGGATGACATGCCCACACTTTGCAGGGAAATGGATTTAAATAGACCCAGAGAGAATTTTATAGCAAGTCTTTCTTTTATGTGTCATTTGGAATCATCAATTGCTGAACAAATTTAAGATTTAAGATACACCTGTGAGTATACATATACTTATGTATAAAATAAGAAATCACTGCAGAGATTTCCTAGATGAGATGAAAGCTATTTTTCATGTATGTGAAGAAAGGACATAGTTATCAAATACACTAAAGGTTATTTTCAACTCTGTACCCAGACAAGAACAAAAAGTATGGGCATGAATAAAAGACAGTTATCTCATCTTTGCCTTATGTTAAGGTATGAAATAAATGCAATGAAATACATTCAGTTGCTTTTTCAGATATTTCAGTCTGCTTTGTAGAAGGTTGGTAATAAAGGATATGTCAATTTACATATTACACAGAGTTTTGGCAAACAAGGGCCACTTAAAGAGGCAATCTTGCTTTCCTTTGGATTCATACTACACAACAGTTACTAATCATTATTGTCTAATATTTTTTGTTTGTCTAGAATTGGCAGTTGGAATCTGTACATATTTTAGCAATGCTCGTATTCATGAAACAAATCTATTTTTTTCTACAGACCATCTATTTTTGTGAAGGAAATACAATGATATAAGATAGTGTTTGGTTTATCCTTCAAAAAGGATTATTTTAAAAGAATGGTAGATGTTACGTTCTAGGTTGTTAGATTGCATTTCTGGATGGCTGGTTTCCATTTTTTGCATTGAAATGACCCTGAGATTGAGAAATATCTGCTATTTATTTATTTAAAGCCACATAGTTGGCCAGGAGCGGTGGCTCACGCCTGTAATCCTAGCACTTTAGGAAGCTGAGGCTGGCGGATCACGAGGTCAGGAGTTCGAAACCAGCCTGACCAACAAGGTGAAAACCTGTCTCCACTAAAAATGCAAAAATTATTAGGGATGGTGGCGCGTGCCTGTAATCCCAACTACTTGGGGAGCTGAGGCAGGAGAATCGCTTGAACTGGGAGGCGGAGGTTGCAGTGAGCTGAGATGGTGCCACTGCACTGCACTCCAGCCTGAGTGGCAGAGTGAGACTATCTCAAAAAAAGAAAAAAAAAAAGACACATTGTTGACTTTAGTAGTGGCTTAAGCACTATTCCATTAATGGTCAGTACTCTATAGAGCATTACAGGGGATCAGTCTTGGACAAAGTAACCCTTTTTTCTCAGAAAGATATTACTGGGTTTATGTTTCAAAAGATCATTCTTATTATATTGTGGAGAATTGAATGGAAGGAACATAAGGGGAGGAAGGAGGACAGTTGGGTAGGTATTTCACTAGTTGGGTAAGATAAGCCATATTACTTTTTGATTAGGGGCATGGATTCTGAATCCAGACTCTCTATTTTGAATGTAGTATCTATCACCTATGCAAGTGACTTTGGTAACTCACTTAATATTGTTCTATGTGTCAATTTTTCTATCAGTAATCTGGAAATAATTATAGTTCCTACCTCAAAAGTTATCATGAGAAAAAAATGAATTAGCGTACCCTAGAACATGCCAGGCTCAGGGCAAGCACAAAGTTAAGTACATACTGTTAGTGAACTAAGATGTTTGGAACAGGGAGAAAAATAAGTGACCCTTATTTGAGTATATCGAGGTATTATAATGAGCATATAACTTAGTTATGGACTGACTTTTGGGGGAAGGAGTCAGTCCATAGCAGATAGTGTCATATGCCATTCATTGGAAACAGAAATATTGGAAAAGGACAGGAGATTGTGGGAGTGATGAGGATGTCCAAATACAATATTATTATTTGTTTAAGAATTAATATATAGTGTAACATACAGGGTAAGTTAGGTCCTTGGGGAAGATTAAAATTAAAAGTTTTGGACTTTATTTAATTGCTTCTTGACTGAATGACACAATATGACCGAAGTGCCTTTGTGGGGACATGTGTCTGTATGTATCAGGGGAGTCAGGTACTATCTTGTCTTAAAGAGGCTTTGGTCAGCATTAGGACTCTATGGAAACACATTAACTTTTAGATATAAAAGTATCATAAATACAGTAAAGATTTTTAAAGGAATTGGATTATGTAGGGAATGAGCTATCATTAACGTGTATAAATCTTAGGTGACTACAGTTTGTTCTCATAGCTAATGTTTTGTTTTTTTTTTACTCATACATTTTTCATATTTGTTCCTAAAATATGTTAATGTTTACATAGCTTGTTAAACAATGATGTATGCATTTTCTTGTAACCAGAACTACTTTTTATGCTTTAGAATCTTTTAGATTCCACAAATAAAATGCTAAGTAAATAAGTATTAATAAGTTTCAATGGATACTTAAATCTATATTTCTTTCAATATGTTAATTTTGTATTTTATGTAAAAGGACATTAAGTTTTAAGCAAATTAATATGATTGTATGCCAATTTCAATGATTTTTCCTGTCTATTTTTCCTATTCTTCTAGTCTGCTCCCAGTTTTCGAGAGGAGTCTATGCTATTTTTGGATTTTATGACAAGAAGTCTGTAAATACCATCACATCATTTTGCGGAACACTCCACGTCTCCTTCATCACTCCCAGCTTCCCAACAGATGGCACGCATCCGTTTGTCATTCAGATGAGACCTGACCTCAAAGGAGCACTCCTTAGCTTGATTGAATACTATCAATGGGACAAGTTTGCATACCTCTATGACAGTGACAGAGGTAAGTGACAATATCTCATCTCTTTGTAATGGGGTGAATTCAATGCCTACATTTGACACTTCTATGGCTATTATAAAGCTACAAAGGTGTGATAAAGCCCAAGGATCCCTTGATTTAATTTTGCTGTGATAATGACTAATGCATTTGTAAACGTGGGAAACATATTTAGAGTAAAACAACAACAAAAGCTGTCTGTGTACAATGTAAAGAGATAGACTGTATCAACCCAACGCCCGAATATTCGGTTGTAACATAAAGAGCAATTTTTGGCATCAGCAGCTAAAAACTTATGATAGCTATACTAGTAGTCCAAGGTGAATAAAGTGACTTGAGTAAAATTTAAGTGAAACATACAAGTAAGAACTTTTATAGTAACATATAGTTGTTAAATATTGTTATATGCCAAAGTTTTATCAGGCAGGTGGCATTATTATTGCCCTTGCCTTAAAACAAGATCCCCAAATCTCGCAGAAGTTAAAGGTTTTTCTCAGGATCAACCCACATGTGGTATAGCTTACACGCAGGTCTCTGATACCAGACCTATGCTTTTGACACCATTCCACGTAATTGTTTATGATGGGATGATTTTGAGTAGCATGCCAGTCTTGATTCATTATGTTAAAATGTAATGGAGGGAGGTACAACGTTTATGTTTCTCATATCCTTTGTTGTGAAGTTTAGTATTAGCAGACTTGCTTTATTTATGTCATAGAATCCCAGGTGTTCTTAACCATTCCTGAGTCCATAACTGGGTGTCAGTGGGTTTGAGTACTCCTGGGTCCATAACTGGGTGTCAGTGGGTTTGAGTACTCCTGGGTCCGTAATTGGGTGTCAGTGGGTTTGAGTACTCCCTAAATTGTATGAAACATCTTGTGGGTGTGTGTGTTCATATGGATATGTTTTTGGAGAGAGTATCCCTAAATCAAAGTGAAAAGGGTGAAGGACCACTATTGTCCCTAAGTACCATACTGTGCTTCCCTCAGCAACTTGCTTCCTGGAATATTTATAGGTTCAAATGAAAACCCAGAAGCCTATTTCGACCAAGATAGGGCACCTTGTTAAGCCACAAGGGCAGACAAGAAGAGAGCCAGCCGTCAGTCAATTCTCCATTGATCAGTTTGTAGTCATTTACTGCAGCAGTCTCGAGTCGGGAGTGCAGGAGCTAGGTGTCTGATTCTCTGCCCTGTCCTCCTAGTCCTGGGAATGAGAACACTCAGTGGAAAAGTCAGTCAGCACTAAACAAGCTGAAAAAAAATTTGCTATGTCAACAACTATGTCCCCCTGCTTTGAGAAGGGAGTGCTTGGCTATTTCCATAGGGACTTAAAAACTAAAACAGAGAACTATTTACAGTAAATATAGATTTCAATGTGCTGGATGTTTCTGAAGCACACTTATTAACATGATAAAAGGGCTTATAAAACTGAGCATATTAAATTGTTTTTAGTTTTTCTTCTTGCCCTCTGCTAACTTCTTTAGTATTTTGTGTTGTCCAAGCTAGCCTGAAATCTGGGTGTATTCTTAATACCTCTTTCATCCTTGCATCCTATTGATGTGATTTCCACTGCCTAATTATATTTTATCTGTAGACACTCATCCTTTTCGTTGCCATTACCCCAGGCCAAGCCACCATAATGTGTTCAGTATCTCATCTCTCCAATTCCATGCTTGTCTTTTTTTAATCCATTTTCCACGAAGTAGCAGGAATTATTGTTAAAAAAAATTGTTTTTGGACTGCATTACTCTCTTGTTTAAAATACTTCAATGGCTTCTCATTATGAGGATAACACTGAAAAAATTTAGTTGGCTTTAAGATCTTACAATATCCAATTCACACTTAACTCTCCATTGCATTCTGCTATCTTGCTCACTCATTAAAGCTATATCTATTTGACCTTCTTTCACTTTCCCAGATGCAACAAACTCTTTCACTTCAAATCTCTGCCCATATCACAAATTCTTACTCCTCCTTGAGAACTGGGTTCATATATCATTTCCTCAGAGACACCTTTCACACTTTTATCTCTGAAAGCAATCTCTTCTTTTCCTTTATAGTACTTAGGACAATTTATAATGAATGGTGATGTTCATTCTGTCACTTAAGAACTGCCTATTGAGCCCCTGCTATGTTCCAGGTACTATAGGATAAGCATCATGTTTTTCATGTAAGGTGTGGCAATAAGCTCCAGGAAGAGAGTGCCCAGGCAGTGCTCAGTGTACTGGATGTTCAACTCATGACTCTGTACCCAGTGCTTCAGATAATGCTGGAAAGAGTTGATGTTCAGTAAATGGTGTTAATAAGTAAATGAGTTAAACATCTGTGTACAGTATTTTAAGTTCAAGATGATTTTAGAAGCTAAATTTTGCTTGCAAAATTGAAGAATTGAATGACTAATTCTCTTTACACTTTGACAAGGTTGATGGAGGATGGCATTTTTAGTTTAAGAATACATTTCACCTTCATCCTTACCCTCACCATTGCTCCCTCTAGTTGTAACTGAACTTTTGAGAAAAATTCAAATAGACAACAGCTGATATAAGTTAAAAAAAGAGAAACTCTAGTGTTTGAGGAGAGATATTCAGAAAGACAGGATCTGGAATTAGCAGGTGAAGATGGATGGACTTATGTACTTGTGAAAACAATCTGGAACATTTTAAAATGCTTTTATTACTACTTAGAAATATTAAATGAAATTGAAGTGATGAGATAAGCTACAATTATTAAATTATACAAGTTGATTTGAGTTCAAGTGCATCTGTTGAGATAACAACATTAGAGTGATAATATTAAGTAATTACATATTAAAGCCAAAGTGACCTTATGGATACATTTTCAAGGTGTTATCAAGTAGTTGTTGATGTTTTAATGTGAAAAGTATTACAGGGGCCTTTTATCTGAAGTTATTTTTAGAGATAAATATGTAAGACTCTCATAATACTGGCAAAAGACTTGACCTTTGTATAATGTTTTACTTGGCGCATGGGAATGGAATTTTTGCTATATTTTTTTTCTTATTAATGACTTAATTTTATGGCTTTGCCATCATGCTACATTTTAACAAGCTTATTCATACATTTAGTGTGTGAACTGTTTTTCTGCCATTTGGTCCTGAAATCATTTTGCTTCTGCTTCAAAGTAGGCACCTCCTTGCTTTAGTGTCACATGATTTGAAGAATGCACCTGCGCTCCCTTTATCCACATTAACCACAGTTTGGAAAATAGATCCCATGGTTTCATCTCTCTACTTACATCTCTACATGCCTCAGTTTCAAACAATTTGGTCTGTTCTCGATGTGGCTCTCTCTTCACCTCCTTGATTATATGATTATTTTTAGGCTCTAATCATCTTTACTTTTTGTAGAGTCTAGGTCAGGAATATATATTGTTAAATTATAATGTCTAAATGCCTAAATTACTGTTCTTTGGAATAGCATAGAGTCCAAATGTGAAAATGATCTCCCAACATTCTACCCTAGTAATGAACTAGATGAAAAAGACTTAACATTGTTATATGCTGCTTAATTTCACTACCTTTAACTACTGAAAGCCATTCCTGCTTCCTGGCTATCTGCTCCAATGCTAAGCAATAGGCCAAGACACTATATCTCACTTGTAAATGATTAGAGACATGGATACACTGATAGAAACATCTTTGTATAGCAACATCTTCGTATGGAACCCTCTTTGACTAATCTAAGTTTGCTGGTGAGAGGAGAGCTGAAACTCTGAATCTGGTGCCAGGTGATCTTTTAGGTTGTTAGTGTCTTCTCCTTACCAAGGCCATGTGGCAACAGCCTGGCGCTCCTGGATGACCCTTGATGACTCTGAAAGCTGCGCTCCTGGATGACCCTTGATGACTCTGAAAGCTGCATATCATCACTCCATAAAGAGAACACAAGTAGAATTTCAACACATTTTTAACAATAGAGCAATGGGGTTATCTATGTTAATGCATTCAAGATTATGTAGTAGTTTTATTTTTGGATATATATGTTGTAAGTTTGAATCAGGACTTAATCTAAATGTAGTTTTTGTCAACAAGGTAAGATAATACATTTCTATAGAGAGTAGGTAAAAACAGAATTAGCACTTTATATCTGTATGTCTTGGTTTCAATTCTGAGCAATATTATTCGTCCCCTGAAAGGAAGGCACTTTGCCTGTAGTTCCAAGAAAACATCACGCATAGAACAAAAATGCTTTCAAATTATAATTTTTTCCCTCATATTCCTGAGAGAGCTGATGAGGGAAATATATGTTAATCTAATTTGGCCTAGGCATGCTGCCATGATTTAGTGATCATAAATATTAATTTCTATGCTTGAAAGAATGAGTAAGTACAGTTAATTTTAAATGGAACAAAGAAAATATTTTTAAGCAGTAGGACATGGTTTGAATAAAATGTATCTTCTGGCAGTAATCGTTTTTAATTTAACCCTTTAACGTGCAAATTGATAGACTTCCCCTGTGTACCAAGTGACCTTTTAAAGGGTTTGCGTTCAGACAGGTGACTGATGGCTTGTCTATAACTCAGAGTGCTATTAATACTGGGTCAAGATGAGACTATCACTGACTGACTAGGAGTAATACTTTGGGAGAATTTTAGGAAGATTGTCATTTTATGAATAGGTTATACAATTACAGCCAGTCAGTAACAATAGCCACATAAAGAAGTAATGCAATTTAACATTATTTAATCTAGCCATTTTTTATTTTAGCAAAACATCTAATAATTCAGTAAAGTTTAGAACTTACTTTTAGACTCCAGCAATATTCTTGAGGGTTTAAAAGAACATACTATATTTTAGATATATTTACTAGGAGGAATAGTTAACCTTCCAGATTTCTTCTGTTTTTAGATGAACAACTATGTATCTCAGCAGTTTTGTTTTAAGTAATTCAATAAAAATAAGTGAGTCTCTGCTAGAAATTCAAATATCCTAATATAGTACTAGGGATATTAGAGTCGAATGACTATTGCATCCCAATAGCTTTAAGTAAACCAGTGTTTATGCAGAACTCCCATTGTCCATACAACTTTGTATTCTGAATTACAGGATGAATATATTTATAGATACTTCTGTGCTAGTTTGTGTGGAAGGAATAGAGGCAGATCTCAAGTCATACTTTATCCTCTAATTGAATATGGTACAAAGCGGTCAAGAGCACAAATCTGTGTTAGCTTTGAAGAGTTTAATTTCACCTTCATATACATTTTCAGTGATTTTCAAATTTAAAAATGGTGTATTAATTATAAAGCAATCAGATGATACAAAACTTTTAGTTGTGAGAAATGGGGAGATCAAGTTGAGAGAGTCTGAGAGTCAGTTACTATTACTGAAAAAAAAAACCTAGGGAAATGGGTTATTAAGCATTGAATGGTGGTCTCTTCAAATTACACGTCAGATAATGCAATCATTTGTGAATTACTTCTGCCTGTTGTTAGGAGGTAATTTAATATTATTCAGTGTCTTCTTATGAAACTCAATTTATTAAGTCTGATATAGCACTACTTGAGCAGTTTAGTTTCTTAATAAACATGTAAGTTTTGTTAGGTTCCACAGGTTACAAAACGTTAATCCTGAGAGTTTTAATAAGAGTGAATCCTGAATCCACAGCAACTGTAAATTACTTTTGACGCATAGAACAAATGAGTTTGAAAGTTAGAGAAATTTCTTTTTTTTTTTTTAATGGGGTCCTGCTCTGTCACCCAGGCTGGAGTGCAGCAGCGTGACTTCGGCTCACTGCAATCACCACCCCCCAGCTACAAGGAATTCCCCTGCCTCAGTCTCCCAAGTAGCTGGGATTACAGGCGCCGGCCACCAGACCTGGCTAATTTTTGTTTTTTTAGTAGAAATGGGGTTTTGCCATGTTGGCCAGGCGGATCTCGAACTCCTGATCTCAAGTGATCTGCCCACCTTGCCCTCCGAAAGTGCTGGGATTACAGGTGTGAGCCACCGCACCTGGCGCAAGTTAGAAATTTCTTTAAATACATTCTTTTTGATTTTATACATCATCTCTATACTCTTCTGCAAGGTGAACTGCTGGAAATTTTAGATTTAGGATTACCACTTGGTGAAATCCATTTACAAAGTGTCATTTATATTTAAGCTTTATTGTAATATATGTCAAATGTTGAGGCATAATATTAAGAGCATCACCACTTGAAATTGTGTCATGTAGTATGCTTTATAATTAAATAAAACAAAATGAAATAAACTATTGCAGAGAAAAAGGGATGCTATTGGTGATTGCTATATAGTAATATATGGATAGCACAGAGAGCCCCATCCATGGATATAATGTCTTTAAGAAGGTGACAAAGGGGAGCTGAACCATGACTGGGATGTAGGAAAGTAGAACCCAGCAAATGGAAAGTGGCTTAGAATTTAGATTTTTTTTTTCTCTTACTTGCAGAGAAAACTGGGTAGACTTAATGGCTGTTTTCAAGTACACTGATAGCTGTTGAATTGATCATAATGCCAGCTGTGCGTGTTCTGCCTCTACTGATGAAAAGGGAAGGATTTAATTGACCTATAGTGTATGGAAATCATAGGCGATCTGTGAGGTGTTTTAAAGATCTGTCACTGAAAGTTTTAAAAAATGACATATGGTCTTTTTACATTATCCCTTGAGAAATTTGTTTCTTTATATATTTTACCAGAAGACTGGACAGAGGAAACTAATTTCATTTTGCCAGAAAAAGAGTTAACTTTTTTCAGCATGTGGTTCAATCTTCCATTCTGAAGTAAAATTTAATTATTTTTAATGTTTATTATAAAATATTTAAAACAACAAATTAGAGAAAATGCTATAAAGATTCCCAAACACTCTTAATCTGACTTTATTAAAGACTATTATATGAGTAATTTTGCTTGATCTATATCTCTTTGTTCCCTGCAATTATTTAGAAACAAATACCAGACCTCTCGTCATCTCATCTGTAAATATTTCAGTGTTCATTTGGAAAAAATGATTCTTGTATTTTAAATATAATGACAATAGCATTATTATACCTAGACAATTAACAATTCATAAATATTATTCTTTTTCCACTGTTTGTTTGAAGCAAAATAAAACTGAGATCCATATATCATAATTAGTTAATATAATGTTTAAGACTCTTGTAATGCAGTTTCCCACAGTCTAGATTTTGATGATTGCAACAGCATAGTGCTTAAAATGTTGTCTTCTACATATGCCCTGTAACTTGATAGTTAGATTCAGAAGTGTGATGAAATTCAAGTTTACATTTTTGGCATGAATGTAGCCAACACCAAATAGGTATGTACCTATTCAACACCAAAATAGGTGTAGTTGAATATTATCATTGGGAGACACATCTTTGTTATCTCTCTTTTTGGGTAGTTACCAGTAGTTGATGATTGTTGCCTTGATTTATTAATTCAGTAGGTGTTACAAGATGGTGATAATTTCAGATATATATTCATCCATAATCTATTACCTAGAGTATTTCCAAAAATAAAGACTGTTAGTTCATTATTACCCTGAAAGTGGTTCATATGGGAAACGCAGGAAAATGCTTGTTTTACTTCATTATTTACCAGTCTTCAAATTAATTAATTGGTTCCCTAGCATCCACCAAAGTCAAGCACATTTTTAAAACATAATTTCATAGATTTAAAATAGTTTATGTATGTAAGTACTTCGCATTTATCATTCTAATTAATATTCAAATAGTCCCATTTTTATTTAAAAAGCTCCTCTTCAAATTAGCTGCTGCGTGCTTTGAGGTAATACTGATGGTTTTAGAGAGTTCCTTCCCTTCTGGTGTCATAAGATGTTTCAGACTCATCTTGTACACTTTTTGGCCAATATTGAATCCACAAAATTTTTAATGGTGGTTTTTCTTTTTTGAAATAGTTTTCAACAAAATTGATAATTGACTTTTTTTTATAACAAAAAGATTTAAATAAAATTTGGTATCTGAATTTAGGTTTTGAAGAGATATGATCACATTAGGTGAATCCTACATTTTATTAATCAAAAGGGACTAATATTCTTTAGAGAAAGATGCAGGCTTTTCTAGAATAAGGAAGATGATTTGCTAAGTTCTGGATTCATTCTGGAGTCTCGATTTTGCGTTGTTTATTAAGTTATCAATATAAATGATGAATTTGGTTTTGCTGTGAATAGCAGAAGTAATATGAAAGGCAAGTTTATGTAGCATGTCTCCAAGTGCTAAATTGAGGATATAACTTTTCAAGAAACAAATCCTCTAGTTGTTGTACCTCTTAGTCCTGAGTATGAGGTAATATATGGACAATTACAAAGACAATAAAAATTTTCCAAGTGATATGATGCTATAAGCGAAGTTACTAACAGGAAAATAGACATATTTGGAAAGAGAAGTAAATCTATGCTAGAGAAATAACTACCACCATCTGGTTAACAGATGACCACTTCAATTTCTCTGGGATCATTCCCAATAACAAAAAAACATTAGAAGACTGTGGAAGGAAAAAAAATGAACCCAAACTGCTGACTAGAAAACAATAGGAGTCTCATAAAGAATATTGCCTCTTTTCCTCACATAGACTTACATAGATTCCTCTCACTGAAAATGTACTCATCTTATTCAGGATACTAATATCAAATGACAGACCATAATGTACAACTAAAAAAATTTTTTTTCCATTCTATAAGAGTAAGAAATGCTTGTGATGTCATTTGATTTCACTTAAACCAAAGGTATTAACATTGCACTTTAGTAATACTCTAAAGAAGACAGCTGAGAGGGTTGAAAGAAAAGGATATTATTTTCTACTCAAACAATGACTCCTTTGGTCAGAACAGTAATATTTAGGTAATGAGTTTTTGATGTGAAATGACATAAGTAGAAGTTGATAAAGATCATAGCTATAGCTTTTTCTGAAGGAGTCAACGTTCCTTTAGTTGCACAAATCTATCTGCCTTAGAAATATATTCGCTGGCAATTTCATAACACAATCCTGAGTTATTCACGTATCTTTATCAGTCATCATTTTTCTTTGCCTCCCTAGGCTTATCAACACTGCAAGCTGTGCTGGATTCTGCTGCTGAAAAGAAATGGCAAGTGACTGCTATCAATGTGGGAAACATTAACAATGACAAGAAAGATGAGATGTACCGATCACTTTTTCAAGATCTGGAGTTAAAAAAGGAACGGCGTGTCATTCTGGACTGTGAAAGGGATAAAGTAAACGACATTGTAGACCAGGTTTGCTACTTTCTGTTTTCTAATGATGCCAGATATAGAATATGCATGCAATGTCAGCATTTGCAATGTGTATTTGTGTAAGGTGCTTGAACAGCAGTTTTTGCTTTATGTTTTATGTCGGATGCAGCAAAGATCATCAATTAAATTATCTCTGGCTTCAGTTAGCAATAGCAAATGGTCATCAATAATGCTGACACATCATGTTAATCATTAAATAAATTCAATAAATAATTTCTGACTTTTATGTTTTATATGATCAATGATACCCTAAACTTTGATATTTTGATTTGAAAATTTTAAGTTTAAGTCTGATGAACTATTTAGAGTTAAAGAAATATACATGTATTAAGTTAAGACAAGTTGAGTTCTAAGGGAAAAGTGAGTAATTCATGAATTTTTTGGAGTTACCATCTATGCCTCCAGAAAGAATATGTAGTTATCTTTGCAAGATATATATTTTTTCATCTATTAAGGGACTTGTGCCACTATAAAAAACATTGATTTGTTAAAATAAGTAGGAAGGACAACATTTGGGCTATGTTTACTATTGAGAAATAAACTAGATACATCCCCTTGAACTGTTTGAAAGAATCACTCATACAAGTGATAAGGATATTTTTCTCTGTGCTTAGATATTACCTTGCTTCAGTTTAAGATCTTTCAGGATAGGGAGCCACGCAGTGTTATCCTAATAATACAGATACAATCCACCGTGATTTACAGATAGAGTAAGTCACTAGGGATGATGGTGACACAGCATCAGCATCATGATTGATTGACTAAGGTCTCCTTTACTGATATCCGCATCTATTCCTAGCTGATAAATGTGTATGTGTGTGAGTATGAGTGTATATGTGTGTACATATGCATATATGTATATATATGTGCACATATATAAATTTTACAGTTGACCCTACCAATATCCTACCATTGACCAGAAACCTTACAGATAACACACAGTCAATTAACACCTACTTCATATGTTATATGTATTATATACTGAATTCTTATAATAAAGTAAGCTAGAGAAAAGAAAATGTTATTTAGAAAATCATAAGGAAGATAAAACATATTTACTATTCACTAAGTGGAACTGTATCATCATAAAAGCCTTCATCATCATCATCTTCGCATTGAGTAGTCTGTAAAGGAGGAGGAGGAAGAAGGGTTGGTCTTGCTGTCTCAGAGGTGGAAGAAAATCCATATATAAGTGGATTTACACAGTTCAAACCCATGTTGTTCAAGGGCAATAGTATACCCTGTGGCTACTAGTGCCTTCGAATACTGTGGAATTGCAAGGAAAATACGCACTTGTATATGCATTTCTTGGCTCTTCTAGCTTTGAGGAAAAAATGTGATTCGTTAATTTGTTCAACACAAACATTCTGCAACATAAATGTTGATGAAATCCTAATTGATATATAATAATACAGGCCCTAAGACAAAAATGGATCTTTCATGGAATACTGAATAACTGAATAGAACTAACTTGTTATATGAAAGAACTAAATGTTGTATGCCAGAGAGGTGAATAATTTCCTTAGAAAAATCTTGATTCCAGTCTCAAGAGATGAAGTTAAGATTGTTTTTAACCTGAAGGCCTCTTGTTCAAATGTGAACTGCAAAAACTCATTTGAATTTCACAGAGGTTCTCATTAAAACTGAATTTTAATAATATTCATCAGTCTTTGGTTTAGAAAATTTAAGGATTCCTGACTCATCATAATAAATGTTGGTGAAAGACTATATCAAAATATATTTTTCCAAAAAGAGAAGAGAGAAACTACAAAAGAAAACAGGAATATATTGGAAGTGATGTTTTGAAGTAAATATGATTATGGTTACATAAATGTCCATATGGACATCTGTTCAAAATGCAGAGTATTTTGCACATATGTATTGTAAGTCCCTTGAATGTATTAAATGAGTGCATGCAATGGATTGCCTTAGCACACATTGAGGCCATCCTCTGTGCTTGAAATGAGGGATGCAAAGAAAGGTAAGAAAGAGTGATGTCTGCATCCCATGAACTCATTGTTTAGAGATAAAAATGGGCACAGTGTACACAGACAGCACTACAGAATTACAAGTTAAAATGCAATGTAGTCTAGCAGCATGGAGGAGAAAGAAGCTTTCTTAAAATGGGAAGGATCATTTGTGATGGGTTCACATAAGAGGTGGCATTTGGCTTTGCTTGGATTCATTCATTTATTTGTTCAGTAAATATTCCCTGAGTGTCTGATGTTTGCCAGACAGGCACTGCAGTAGATCCAAGGAAGCAATGTTAAACAATAGGCCAGTCACCATCAGTGCAACTATTAATAATGTATTTACAGAAATTAATATATAATTATACTAATGGGATACACTATAAATGAAAAGAATGGTATGTTATGAGAGATCATTACAGAAAGAAATAATTTAGATTAGGATATTCTTCAAGGAATAGTTTACCAGGCAAAAAATGAGGAGGATAAGGTACGTTCCAAAAAAAAAAGAAAAAGAAAAAGAAACAACGTTTAGTTATTCACTCAACCAGTGTTTCTTCAAGACAATAGAGATGAAATAGCACTCTTTATTGCAACAGTAGCTTGAAGTTAGCAATAAATGAAATTTTATTAGACCATCGGTATTTTTATTTATTTATTTATTTATTTATTTATTTATTTATGTATTTATTTATTTTGAGACACAGTATCGCTCTGTCACCTGGCTGGACTGCAGTGGCGCGATCTTGGGTCACTGCAACCTCCAACTCCCTGGTTCAAGCGATTCTACTGCCTCAGCCTCCCGAGTGGCTGGGATTACAGGCACACACCACCACACCCAGCTAATTTTTGTATGTTTTAGTAGAAACAGGGTTTCACCGTGTTGGCCAGGATGGTGTCAAACTCATGACCTCGTGATCCACCCACCTTGGCCTCCCAAAGTGCTGGGATGACAGGTGTGGACTATGGGTATTTTGTTATCATTTGATACAAACTTGACAGCACAGATTTCTAGTTATCATTAGGTGGGAAAAAGATTCAGCCATCAAAAACGTTTATAAATTAATGTAACTTTTCTATTGTCAGTGCAATAATAATTGTTATTATAACACAAAGACATGCTGGTTAGTATGGCCAATGCAAATTTTCATATAGACACTGGGCTAGTGAATTTTCATATCCTTCCTTTCTTTCGAGTAAACTCAAGTAGGGACTAGTGATATTACCTTTTATACTATGTTTTTTAAAAAAATTTCTCAGCAGGAAGATATGGATGATTCAGAGAGTAGAATGTACAGTAAGCACAGCTAACAGATGTCAGCAGGAAATAGGAGGGACATAATCAATCTGATTCAGCTGATGCTAATTCATATGTTTTTCATTCAGAAGGACATCTTTTCTTCAGAATTCTCCCTTTAACACAGAGGGTTCAGTTTCTTGGAAAAGGCAATTTAGTCATGTTACGTAAAACTGAGTCAGAAAACAATATAAGTTTTAACTTCTTTTCAAACGGCCATGGCTTAATGTCAAAGTGGCATATGGTAGAATCGTTCCTAGGATTTTGTTCTTGCTCTTTAACTAATAGCATTGCTCTGGAGCACCTGACTTTGTCTCGGATTAGAGAAAGTCAGGGTAGTTTTCTCCCGGGGAGTATAAGAATTATTCAAGAGTCAATTAGGCAAAGGATATAGTGGTGGAGCTTTCCAAGCAGACAAGCAGAGGAAACAGAATGTGTGAAGCCCTGAGGTGATGAGAAGAAGCTTCTCTGTGAACAAAAAACCTAAGAGGGCCAATCTGACTTGAGGGTATAGAATAGGAAAGTTGAGCCTCAGAAACTTGCAAGATTATTGGAAAGAAAAACTCACCCAAACTATTTAATCAGAGAAATGATTTGGTTAGAATTTTTGCCTATAACCTTAACATTTCATGCTTTCCATTGATGGGATCATCTCCTTAAAAAACATACATGACATTACATTTGAATGTCCGTGTACCAGGACTAAAGCGTGGCCAGTTTGCCTATTTCTACTCTCTTTGTAATTATACATATCAGTCAAAAGTCAAATTGATAAATAATGTCCAAAACCATTGTCAGCATTACCACGATGACCACTTGTTCCATGCTGTGTTTATCTTGACATTCATTTTAGATTTCGATTTGTAGAAAATAATTAGCTTCTCTGCTACTTTGCTCTCTAGAGCTGGCAATAATGTCCATTTGGACTAAATTATAAACATTTCATGGTCCTTAGGATAGGAATGTTACTTTATATATCCATGTAAGAATTCTTTTATATGCTTTCTAATATTCTTTTGAAATGTATGTAGTACTATAAACTCTATGTGTATTTATTTGAATATAGACATATGAATATAAAATCTCAGATGTTAAACAGTTTGAGCTGTTTAATGTTTATTATAAAGACAAAAACATAGCCTTTGTAGAAACAGAATTATGACTTGTCATGGACTAAACATACTTTGGTTTTACACTTCTTAACATCCTGTGGTTTTATTTTTTATTATTGACAAAAATGAGGTAATAATTTTTGTTTAGTTGGTGACTTTTGGAAAGATAATAGTTTAATAAGCATTAGTATGTATTATTACTTTTTATGAGAGAAATATCTAATTTTGATAATTATATTTTATCAAAAATGACTTATTTTGGCACATCAAAAAACCTAGCAGATAAAATTCCACTTTTTTTCTGAGTCAAATCATAATACCATTAATTTTGTATTTGCATTATTTGTATTAATTAAATAATTATTTATTTGTGCTTGTTAGGTTATTACCATTGGAAAACATGTTAAAGGGTACCACTACATCATTGCAAATCTGGTAGGTGAATTAATTGGTATATATTATTTTACTAGATATGCTTATTCATTAAAAATTTAATTTTGAATGACCAGCATTTATCAGTGGTGTTTTAAAAAATATAGTTTGATTGTAATTAGCCAGGCGTGGTGGTGGGCACCTGTAATCCCAGCTACTTGGGAGGCTGAGGCAGGAAATTTGCTTGAACCCAGAAGGTGGAGAGGTTGCAGTGAGCTGAGATCCCGCCATTGAACTCCAGCCTAGTGACAAGAGAGAAACCCCATCTCAAAAAATAATAACAATAAATACAGTTTGATTGTATTTGATAGATTAGATATATTTCTGCAATTACGTTTTAGAATTGCTTCCCACTTTGCATCTTCTAATCAATTTCTTATTATTATAAATGATATAAGAATTTATAGAACAGTATTTGACAAGCTTCGTAAATTGTCTTAGATGATGTATTTTAAGAAAGGGAAAATTTTCAAAAATATTTAAAGTTTAATTGTCCACATATTCCCTTGTCTCTGTTTTTTACTGTCTCTGTTTTTTATAAACTCTGCCCTCTGCACATTCCTTTAGTTTTTAGCATATATAATGTCCGAAATAAATGTAAATTTGTGAGAATATGTCTTACTACAAAATTAAACCTGAAAAATCAAGAATATTGAAATATTATGCATTATTTATGATTTCCTACTTACTGTGTGAACAACAAAATGAAAATTAAATTTCGATAGCCAATCATCTTTTCATTAAGATTTCTGTCAAAATAAGGACCACTTAATCACGGCTTCTTGGGTTTGTGTTTTCTCCGGGCCGTGGTCACTCATATTGGCTCAGAATAAACCTTTTACAATAAAAAATGAAGGTAGTATACTGAAGCAACAGAGTAATTAATTGTATTTCCCTCTTTTAAGTATCATCAGAGTCCATTTAGAATTATCACTAGACATTTCTCTTTTCAAAATAATTTAAGCCTTCACTGCTACAAAAGTTAATGTTATTTAAATAAGTAAGATGCTATGTGATTCAGGACTACACTCCCCCTACACCCCGTCTCACCCAAGAACAAGAAAAAAAGGTGAGAGAAAGAGGGAGAAAGGCAGAGAGCTTATTCTAAATAGCATAATAGGACTTTGAAAAGCTTTTGACATATACAAATGTAGATTTATTTCATGATTCCTAGTGTATCAGGTTGTTACATCAGCAGACATTAGTTCTAGTGGTGACAGAAAGAGATAAAACAAAACAATGCAACATTTACTGCCTTCCAACTGACAAATGTTTTCACCAGAAGTCGAAGGAGTTCAGAATATTAAATCTCAAAACGGCATGCCATTGGGTTGCTCAAGACAAAATTTCTGTTTGGCAATGAAATGGGTAACTACTATAAAAATTCTCTGGGACTTTCCGTTAGAGTGTATTAAGGAGATGCTAAGGAGCATTATTAAGGAGATATTAAGGAGTGTATTAAGGACTCCCTAAAGAGAAGCAAGAGTTAAACTAGATGAAGCTCTGCATTCAGTCTCTCTAGAACCACATTATGTGCAGGAAACAGCCTGGACAGTCAGTCCCCTGTGTGAATTGTGCCATTTGATGAACAACACAGAGCCACATTGAAAACTGTGATCTTTAAAAATGTACAGATGGAGAAGATTATATTGGAACATTGAGAAATAATGACAGAAGGTGGCTCATCAATTTGAGAGCTGATATCTGATGCTATGAAAATGAAAATAAGTGTTTCAATGATCAAAGTAAAAAAACAAAAAACAAAAAACAAGTTCATGTTGTTGTCATGCTTCTAGAGAGAAATCTACCTAATATTTTATCTGAATTCAAGTTCTTTTTTTTGTGTGTTTTTTTTTTTCTCAATACTTGGTTTCTTTGCCATATGGAACTTCTAGTGAATCAGTAAGATCTAAAGGCTGTATAGTATTGCAATTTCTGAGAATTTGGAGGACACTTGGAAATTTTACTGACATCCAAATTAAAGAATATCACCCAAAGTTGAAGGGCTTTCATCTTCCAAACTCTTGAGACTTTCCTTTTCTTCGCCCTGTTCATGTTGTAATGAGTTCTATAATAGGTGGTTACAGAAGATTTTTAAAAAAATCTGCAGATAATATTATTGATTAATTTCCTCAGGAATTGCTGAATGCTTGATTGGGCTCCTAAAACACAGTCTGTGATTAAGTCCTTTACAACAACATTGAGAAGGGTAACTTGTAAATAAGGTGATGAAGAAGTGGTCATTAGGAAATCCAGTTCTCATTCCTCCAACCTTACTACCCATATAGATTTAATTCTTTAAAAAGCCATGATTCCATACTGCTGATGACTTTACATGTCTGCCTGCTGAAATTTTAAATTTTCACAGGTTATTAATGAATACTTATCTTCTATTTTAAATCTCTTCAAATATAGCTCCAGGAGTAGTAGTATCCAATTTAACTTGATGAGTTGTTGCCATCTGTTTTGTTAACCCTTGGCCTCTCTGTTGTGATTTATTCATTTTTCCTTCTTCCTCTATTTTGCTTCTCATATATTAAAGTTTCAGAAAAGAAAGAAGAAAACTTAGGGAAATGCAGATTCTCACTGAAGCCAGCTTGAAACCTTATTTAAAGTTTCAGCTTAAATGTCATTGTAGTAAAATGACAGTGAAAGAATAAAAATTATGGAAAACCTTAAAGAAAGAGAAAATAGGAAAGGAAGCATTAACAGATGCAAAAAGTCAACAAAGTTTTTCAGGACACAGAGCAGATGAAAGATGAATTCCTGGCATAGCAAAGAGAAGGAAGATAAAACAGTAAGTTCCTTTCAGAGTGGGATATAGGTGAGAACAAGCCTGTTCATTCTGCAGAACTCCTGTGACATTCAGTCTTAGAAGAGCCAGAAACCACAGAAAGCAAGACTGAGGTGTGGAGCTTAAAGCAGGAAGCTCTTACAGGTCTCTCTGGAAGCAGAGCCTGACATCACTATTCATGTACACATTCTCAAGTAAGTGCTTTCAGGAGTAACCTGTAAGAGAGTGAGGGAAACAAGAGAGAGAAGGGAAAAAAGCACACCAGTTAGAATGGTGATCATTAAAAAGTCAGGAAACAACAAGTACTGGAGAGGATGTGGAGAAATAGGAACACTTTTACACTGTTGATGAGACTGTAAACTAGTTCAACCCTCATGGAAGACATTGCAGTGATTCCTCAAGGATCTAGAACTAGAAATACCATTTGACTCAGCAATCCCATTACTGGGTGTATACCCAAAGGATTGCAAATCATGCTGCTATAAAGACACATGCACACGTATGTTTATAGCAGCACTGTTAACAATAGCAAAGACTTGGAACCAACCCAAATGTCCATCAATGATAGACTAGATTAAGAAACTGTGGCACTATACACCATGGAATACTATGCAGCCATAAAAAAGGATGAGTTCATGTCCTTTGTAGAGACATGGATGAAGCTGGAAACCATCATTCTCAGCAAACTATCGCAAAGACAGAAAACCAAACACTGCATGTTCTCACTTATAGGTGGGAATTGAACAATGAGAACACTTGGACACAGGGTGGAGAACACCACACACTGGGGCCTGTCATGGGGTGGGGGGAGAGGAGAGGGGTAGCATTAGGAGATATACCTAATGTAAATGACGAGTTAATGGGTGCAGCACATCAACATGGCACATGTATACATATATAACAAACCTGCATGTTGTGCTCATGTACCCTAGAACTTAAAGTATAAAAAAAATAAAAAGACACAGGGAAAAAAAAAAAAAAGAATGTGGTTTGAAGTGAGAGCTGGGTTTAGTCTGATTCCCTCTGGGCACTTTGTTGCATAAATTGCACTGCACTCATTCAGCTTGAGGCAAAGGGTGTTTGTACCTAGATCCCAGTTTTTGCTGTTGAGCAAGGGCCATCAGAGATGCAGCTTTGGTTGTCCTAGGGCAATTCTCGTGGAAAGGTTATGGATGGTAGCCATTGGCCAAAGCAGGGGAAGTGCCTAGGGGATGGGCAAATCAACTACACCTGTAAAGTGCATCCTACATCCTAGGACACCTGGGTGGTTCACTAAGACCACCTGGTACAAGGGACTTGATTCAAAGGCCAGAGGGAATAATTGGATGCCCCAAGAATTCTTTTCACACAACCCAAACAACCAGGTAACTACAAGTCCTGGTGCCTAAGCACCTACTTCCTCTCTTGACAATACTTCTTACTAGAGAAAGTGAATTAGAGAAATTCTGTTTTTTTTTTGAGACGGAGTCTTGCTCTGTCACCCGAGCTGGAGTGCAGTGGCCAGATCTCAGCTCACTGTAAGCTCCGCCTCCCGGGTTTATGCCATTCTCCTGCCTCAGCCTCTCGAGTAGCTGGGACTACAGGCGCCCGCCACCTCGCCCGGCTAGTTTTTTGTATTTTTTAGCAGAGACGGGGTTTCACCGTGTTAGCCAGGATGGTCTCGATCTCCTGACCTCGTGATCCGCCCGTCTCGGCCTCCCAAAGTGCTGGGATTATGAGTAACTAAGTGAATGTCTCTGTGAAAGTCTAACCTCATCATCCCCCATCCTTCATCCTGTCCCTAAAACTTAGCCAAGCATATGCACTCGTGTAGGAGACTGGAAGATTCTGAAGAAACTGAATGGCCCAGAGAAAAGAACTTCAATATGGACAAACAACACTGCTATCCACCCCACCTCACCTTCACCATCTACCTTACAGTGAAGCATACTCGTTAACGTGCCTTGCCCATGCACATAGAAATTCCAAGAAACATTTTGGTGTCTTGCTCTTAAATAGCCCAGCATAACTTGGCATTTGAGAAAAGTCCTTACCATGAAGTATGCAATGCAAACAAACAGATCCGTGGCAGGAAACATGAGAAAATTTTTAAAATTGTAACTAATATCTGCCTAGAAGTAGGGAAAATATTTTATCCAAAAAAGAGAGAAGAGGATGCTATAAGAAGAAAAAGAAATGGAGAATAAGAGCTCCAGAAAGTTAACTTCTTTTGTTTCCTAGAATAACAGGTTAAATGAGTTGGAAGATAAATTTGAGAAAATCTTCCAGAATATGTAACATAATGACAACACAAATATAAAATAGAAAAAATAAATGTATAAGGGACCTTGACATTTTATTTAACAGTTATAATATCTTAATAACTGATATTCTAGAAAAAGAGAAGAGTGAAACTAGGGGAAGGAAAATGTTAAAGAAACATTTGGAAAAATATCCAGTACTGAATCACATAAATCTGCTTATTGAATATACACAGTAATAAAAGACAAAGACCTACAGTGACAATATCATAATGGAATTTCAGAGATAAAGAGAAGATTTAAAAGTTTCTAGCAAGTGGCTGGAGGTGGATAAGAGTGAGAAGTAGATGACACACCAAAAAATTAGAAATAACATGTTTTTCATTAGAAACATTGGATAGTGATAGTCAATGGGACAATGCCTTCAGATTATAAGTTTTTTTGTTTTTTGTTTTTTTTTGTTGTTTTTTTTTACCATAAAATTCTATACCAAGCCAAACTACTAACCATGAATCAGGATAAAACAAAGTTATGTTTCAGACATGCAATGTCTCAATAAATTTATCTCCAAAGTATTTCAGTAAACTATCAGAGGACTCCAGTAGAGGTAATCAATAAATCAAGAAAGAGAAATATGACCCAGGAAATGGGATTTAAATCAGAAAAGTGGTGAAGGAACATGCTAAAGTAACAGCTGTAGAGTAGGTGAAGAGAAGAGCCAATTTGGATTCCAACATTAAGAAGGGGGTCTCCTAGAAATTAAAATTTCAAGAAAAAGTTGAAACAGATTACCTGATATGTTTTAATATTTCATTTTTTAAAAAAGCTTTACTCATAGGCATGAAATGTTTTCATGGAAGCACTGGGAAAAATAAGGATAGGCATATAGAAATCTCTAGTAGTGAAAAAATGGGACATGATTATAAACATGGGCTGAGATCATGTTCAAGAAAGAAAATGCAATCCTGGTACACTATTTGGCTTTGCTATGAATAACATTTAGAGTTATAAATATGTAAACACTAAGTACTGATTAAAATGGGTGAGAAGATAAACGGTTTTGTCATGTACACAAACTACGTACTCGTGGGGTACACAAAAACTCAATAAAAATTTCTAAAATTGATAAATTAGAAAGAGTAATAAAAATGTGTCATGCAGAAGAGGTAAATATGTGAAAAGCAAATATATTAAAATTGAATGTTTTGAAGCAACTCAACTGGAACATACATAGGGTAAAACAAAGAATATATGATTTTTGTTATATTCCTTTTTGCACTATTTGCATTATCTTGATAAACAGAAACAAAATTGTGAGCCAATAAAAAGTAATTACCTTATCCTCCAGCTAAATAATATAATAATATGCATGTTTTAATGTCAATAACAAAGAAAACATTCTCCTACATTTTTGAGTGTGGTAATTCAAAATTAATTTAGGATACTTTTAACTTTTGTGTACAATAATATAGAATAAGTATTTGTGAAATGTGAAAACATTTGTAATTGTGGAATATAGAAATTAACTTCATCTTTGAGAGAGATATACTATCAAGTTGATAAAATTCATGTTAGCACAATATTTGAAATCAATGTAAATATAACATAATAGTTTTAGTAATGACTGAATTCATTGCAATAGTACAAGAGAAATTTTTTTTCCAAAATTTAATATATTCTATAAAATTAGCTTCCAGCTTAATGTGCAATTATTTAATTCTTCTCAAATAATGACTGGACATTTAGTAACTCGTTTTGAAGATGTTCCTATCACATGAGTGAAGAAACAATTCAAACAGGAGTAACTTGCTCACAAGGTTGTGGTTCTTCGAGAACTACTTTAATGTTGTTAAGTGTCTGCAACCACATGGTGGTTCTCCGTTGTAGATCCAGTAAGTAAAACCCAGTCCTGGTCAATGGAAGATTTCTCAATAAAGTGGAGAACTTTTACGTAGGCTCAACCATGAGTGTTTCATGAGATGATCCATTAGCAAACGTGTATTGATTAGGGAACCACTATGATGCTAATGTGGTGTTAGGTGCTGATGACGAACACTGGCTGGTAAATACATGGGACATTTTCTGCAGGCTTGTTATATCTCATATGTTCTTTGACATATCTAAAACCACAATGTATAGAGTTATTTGGTAAATGTTAAGTAGCATTTGTTTCTCAAGTAAAAAGCGTGACATCAATGCGTTCTATGTTTAGGGATTTACTGATGGAGACCTATTAAAAATCCAGTTTGGAGGTGCGAATGTCTCTGGGTTTCAGATAGTGGACTATGATGATTCCTTGGTGTCTAAATTTATAGAAAGATGGTCAACACTGGAAGAAAAAGAATACCCTGGAGCACACACAACGACAATTAAGGTTTGCTTTGGTTTCTGCTTTTTTTCTTTTGCTTTCCTATGTGAGGAGAGACAAGGGCCTTGGCAAATAAGGAAGAAGGAGAAAATAATAAAGAGAGTACAGAGCACATTTCAAAATATGACAAACACATTGACTGCTAAATGTATTTTTCATATTTGTATGGTTTAAGTAAAGCTATTAGAGCTGTACTGTATTACTCTTGTGTTTTCTACTTCCTTACACCTATGATAATTTATAATAAATAAAGTCATTCATTTATTAATCCATTTGGCATTTTTATTGAGGGAATTCTGAGCCAGACACTTTTTTGGTAAATAGAAAGACAGGGAAAATGTCCCTGCTCACAGCTGAATGGAAGAAAGACAAAAGCATTGACAGAAGAATACCATGAAGGAAGAGCTCAGCAAACTCTTAGCAACATGGAGGGGGCAGGGAATTTTTAAGGTGAGACCTGAAGAATAAGAGCCAATTTTACCCTGGCTGCTGTTTAGAATATTATGTTTGCAAATAAATTAAAGAACAATAGGTGTCAGTTTGTTCCTAATCTTCAAAAAGCCAACTTGCAGACAGTTCTTAGTTCAGTCAATAAACATATGGCCACAAAAAGGAGAGAAAGAATGTATATATGTGTGTGTGTGTGTGTGTGTGCGCGCGCGCGCGTGCATAAAATAACTGCTGATGAGTAGCCTGGTCTCTTGAACACTTTAAAAGAAGATAAAAATCTCAACTTGCCTTAATAATTAAAACATAACTGTAATGCTTTATGCAATCAGACGAAAGATTCTTGAACGACAAGTATTATTTATTCCTCGGCTGTAAGAACTACACAGACTGATCTTTGTTCTCCATGGGTTTGGACACAATGAGGTCTTCACTTGTTTATTTGATGCATTTTATTGGGTATACACATGCATGCATGAATTTACTTCTAAATAGTCAATATTTCTGCTGTTGACAGGAACATTTTTCCTTCAGTTGGTAACCTTATTGAGAGCAGAGTTAAGATTAAAACCTGACTAAGGGTAGTTTAAAGAGTGAGTGGGTTGAAAGTTAAGATGATGTTCACATTCTTTATGAAAATTAAGAGCAAAAGTTGAAAAAATGTATAGTAATTTTGTTTGTGAATTATAAAGCAATTGTATGTGAACCAGGCAGGACAGTGTTATTTCAGTTGCTCCCACAGTTGTACCTGAGTACGCATCATAGAGATGTTGTTTGATGATAGACACATGTCTATCTATGAGATTGGTCCTAGAAAAGGATTAGAAATTTTGAAGTTCTTTACTTTTGAGTTTATAAATGGATCTTTTAATTTTTAAGTCAATTTTGTAAAAGCATTCCATAGGATTTTAAAGAATAACACCAAGTTAGGTTTTTTATAAAAATGAGGTGACTTCCTGTTTGGTGACTTTAGTTGAGATTCAGTGTTTGTACTGTTTATATCGTGGAGGTACTTTTCATGTAACGGGCTTCTGAGCAGGTAGATGGACACCCAGAGCCTTAGTTGATGTCAACGTATGTATCCATCTGTGCCTAGAAGGGGTCTAACTGCCGATCCCATTCTGTGTAATTGCAGGCTTCCATCCATTCAGAGATGGTGCCATGTAAGTTCTCTGATGGAGTGGATGTTATCCTCAAATGGGGCCAGCATGCTCCTTTTGAATTCTCTGTTAGTCATTGTGTTTTGTGTTGCCCCCCACTGCTGCCTGCTGGGAGAAGGATGAAAGCAAAACAAAATTATGTTTTTCTCCTAGAAGTCATATCATGATTCAAGTTCATGTGTCTTGCATTAAAATGCAAGATGTATTTGCGGTATGAGGGATGTTTGGCAATACATTCTGTTAAAAATTTTGCCAAAACCTAGTGCCAGATTTCACTGAGTTGAGAACCTGCATTGTGACCTGCCTTGCTTCCTTCCTGCTGTAAGCATTTCCCCTCCAAAGTGCCTCCCTTTTGATGGCTTCTGCCCATTTTCAGAGAGATCATTATGCTCCTTCATTGTGAGGTATTTCAAAGAACCTAGACTAATGTGTTTTAAAACTTAGGCTGTGTAAAAAAAAAAAAAAAAAAAAAAAAAAAAACTTAGGCTGTGAATCACTACTTGACCCTGAGTCCCGGATACTCATCTATACTATGTAGTGATGACCATTAATTCCCAGGTTGCTGTGAGGATTAAATAACACTTGCAAAGGGCTAGCACAGCTTTGGAAACATAGGTGCCTATAAGGGCTAATTTGTTTTCCCAGCCATTTTCTAAAATGAGAGAATGTCAGCCAATTTCAAAGGTGTATTCCAACGTTAACATTTTGTAATCCCCCTAACTCCACCGAGAGGCATATTTTACAAGGTCCCTGAAGCTTGATAAAAATTACTGAAAATCTGTGGGGAGAATGTGTTTGGGGAGGAAGTTTATCCTAACACAGAAATGTATTGCTTATGTACTAAAGTCCAAAAACTAAATATAAAGAAATGAAAAACGTGTGAATCCTGTCTTTGAGAATTCAGTCTAAAGGAGACAAACATATCAATCAGCGAATATAATAGACTGATAAAATATGCCAATTTCTTGACCATGATTTTTGACAATGATTGGAAGGAAGGTCAAGGAAGGCTTTTGTGGGAGGGATGCCTGTGCAAGGCTTTGCACATGGTTGAGAAGGAAGAAAAGTATGAGAAGTTGCTTGGGGAAGTTCTAAATGTACAGAGACTCGAAGTAATGCAACAGCATGACAGATCCAGGGAACTGCACATGTGTTGCTACTGCAAAAATGTAAATATTTGGGACCAGTGAGTGGGGGCATGTTATGGAAGTTGCAAGAGGTAAGGTCCTTCAATTGTCAACAGATGTGGAAGGTAGTAAGGACAAGACAATGCTTTCATAATTATTTTTGCTTCCAGACAGAAGAAAGGAAGAAAAACTATATAGGAGATTATATAGCATCTTCTAAATATAAACAAGGAACATAGTCTCAATGTATTATTTGCTTACAGAAAGGGAGCAAAATATTTCTAATGAGATTATTTACAATGAGGTTATGTCCTTTGATGTTGCCTTTTGGGTGATTGACTGAATCAGGTACATTTCCTGATAAATTCATATCACATTTTACTACTCAACAATAAAAACTAGTGCTATTGGTATAAAAATCTATAAAAATACAGTTCAATATGTCAAATTATTTCACAGTTAGGGTTTAGGAATTATAGAAATTATATCAACTTGTGGGAGTAATAAATAAATGACTGTTCAACGTTTTCATCTTCCCCTAAAGTTAAATCAGCTTCCAAAGTTTTCAAATTAAAATAAATTTTATTCAGCAAGTAAAATTTTAAATAAGGTTTAATATTTAACATATTTTAATAACCACCAAATATAAATTACAATGTTTAAATTTCTTCATTCTTACATAGTATACAAAAAATAACAAGTCGTGGCACTGAAATTTTAGTGCCTAATTTGCTATTTGGGGCAACATTCATTCATTCATTTATTAATTCATTTATTTACTCGACACATATTTATTATCTACTCCACAGCAGGCACTGTTCTAGGTGTCAGAGAAAAGACAAAGTTCTTGTCCTTAAGGAGATTACAGTCTTCAGACTAGAAACCAACAATTACTTTGTAGCATTGATGGAAGTTGTCTTATTGCTATCTTAAACCTATATATTCAAAACTAAACTTTAGATTTTCCTCTACTACTTCCTCCTCAGCCTCTGGAGACTATTCCTTCAACAGTCTTTCTTATCCCAGTTGATGGCAACTACATCTTTCAGTTATTGCTTAGACTAAAATCTTGGTCTTTACCCTTCTCTTTCTCTTGTAACATACATTCTATGTATCAGAAAACCCCATTAGCACTGCCTCACTTCTTACCACCTTCTCTGCAACCAACTAAATCCAGCTACCTTCATAAGGTTATTGCAACAGTCTCTAAAATTGATCTCCCTCCTTTCAGCCCTGCCCCGTTACCTTCCATCTTTGTGATCCTTTTAAAGTATATATAGATTATATTGTCGTTCTCTTCCAAATGCTCTAATGTCTCTCCATTTCACTTGGAGTAAAAAGCCAAAGTCATCCTGTTGTCTTATGAGGCCCTGTCACCCAGTTCCATGGAACCACATCTCTGTGCAGTGGCTCACTCTGTTTCAGCTACATTGGCCTCCTTGCTGTTCCTCAACCAACCCAAGCACCTTCCTACTTCAGGGCCTTTGAGCTGGCTATTTTTTCTTCTTGACTATTGTCCCCTTAAATATTTGCATGGCCAAGTCTCCTGCACTCCTTAAATCTCTTTCAAATCCTGTCTTCTCATGCAAGGCAATAGTAGGCTATGTATTTAAAATTGCAATCTTGCCACCATCAGAGTTTGTGTATCACCCTTTCCCTGATCCAGCTTTCCCAATTCTTACCTTTTAGTTTACTGTTCTTTTTTTTTTTTTTTTTTTAACATTTAAACTCTTTTTATGATGGACATTTCAAACACACATAAAGATAGAAAAGTGTAATAACCTCCATATACCCACCATCCAACTTGCCAACGTTTTGCCAATCTCGTGTTCAGTTTTAAAAGAAGCTTACTAGTTTACTGTTCTTATCATTTATGTATTCATTGCATTGATAATTATCTCCTCCTACTTGAAAGTAAGTGCCATTTAAAAAAAAAAATTCATCGAGGTATCCCAGACTCCTAGAATAAATCCTCACACTTGGTAACCATCTAATAGAGACTTCATGAATCAACAAATAGAGAAAAGCAAAGTACTCTAGTATCACCTATGACAAGCTCCTAATCCTAATTCTGGAGGTAAGAAAAGGCTTCTTAGAGGAAGCAATATGGAATTGGAGACCTGAAGAAGTAGGAGTTAGGAGAAAGCATAAGGAACAATTGACTCCAGATAAAGGAACTAGGATATATAACGTCTCCAGTGCAAGGAAAATATAAATATTCCCATAAGGCCAGAGGTTGAACAGAAATGATTTGAAGAAATGCTGAGAAATC